TTTTTTTTTTTTTTTTTTTGAGACAAGGTCTTGCTATGGGGTTCAGGCTGGCCTCAACACTCTTGGGCAAATCCTCCTGCCTCAGTCTCCCAAGTGCTGGGATTACAGCCACCACACCCAGCTACTCTGACCGACGTTTACAGTGTGCAAATTCAGTTTTTTTAAGGCACTTACAAGTGTCAACAAAAAGTGAGTGATCAAACATGCTGAGTCTCTGGAGATAAAACAATGAGCTGCGTGCAGGTACCAGCACTGTCCACGCTTCAACTGAAGATAATTGTACGAATAAAGCACATGGGAAAAAAATAATAATGTGCCTGGCCTTGCCTCTTCAGCTCATCTGTGCACACTCAGCTCTGTAGCCATTCTCTACAAACTGGGTGGACTACACATGCGCTCTGGCCCACAGGATGGGGCCTGTACTATTCCCTTGGGCTGGGCATCCTTGTCTGCCTCCCTGACCTAGCTACTTCCTAGCCATCACTAACACTCAGCTCACTGCCACCTCATCCCCCGTCCCCTTTACCAGTACACGCCTGTCTAGTTTTCCCAGAGTGCCCAGTGTCTTCTTCTATACAATACTTAGCACCACGTACTTTCTATGCACTTGTGACTGCACCCAGAATTGTGAGCTCTCTGAAAGCAAGGCACTTGATTCATCCCTCTTTCCCAGGCCTAACAGTGCCCTGTGCTGAGTAAGCCCTCAACAGCTACTCACTGAACTGAATGAGAGGAAGGGTGAGACCTGTGCGGGAAGATTTAGTGCTCCGAGTTGCAGAGCCTGCTGATACTGTTGCTAGGAGCCAGGGCCTCTTCCAGGCAACAGCTGCAGGCTCTCTCCCACTTGCCATTCCCTTCTGCAGGTGGCAGAAGCAGAGCAGATGATGGGAGTTTACTGCTGCTGGTACTACCAGGAAAAAACAACAGAAAAACTAAAATGCAGGGGAGAAAAACCCTGTCACAGAGCCAGCTCTCGTAACCCATACTGTTCTCCTGCCAGCATTCAGTGTCCGCTGCTAAGGAGACGTCTCACTTACTCTAAGCTCCCCTTCCAGGAGGGGTGAGCATCTGGCCCCTTCAACCTCCCAGACCTTAATCCTGATGTGGGGGGCGGGGGAGCACTTTCCTTTTGTCTTTATCCTTGTCCTTGCACATTCAGAGCCCTACTGTATCTGCAGGTCAGAAACAGATATCAGGTATGGAGGGCCCTAGAAAGGAATGACTTGGTTTCAACAGTAGGCACATTCCATGGAAGATCACATGCTACAATAAATGAGTACACTGTGAGCACCCTGAACAATGAAACGGCCTACCAATCTGCATTGCTCCTTATCCTCATCCGCAGTAATGAGCTTCCCCAGGCTTTGGAGTAAGATGGATGGTGGATGGATAGCCATGGGGATGAATGAACAGATGACCACTTCCAAGGAAAACTTTGGAAGTGCGATTTCATCCAGCAGAGGGCACAAGCAGCCTGGGACCAGGGTATGGACGCTAATCCCTGTCCAAAATGCAGGCAGCTTTCGCTTCCGGAGATCATTTTCAAAAAAGAGCTGTTAGCCAGGCGTGGTGGCGCACGCCTGTAATCCCAGCACTCGGGAGGCTGAGGCAGGAGAATCACTGTGAGTTCGAGACCAGCCTGGGCTACATAGTGAGTTTCAGGTCAGTCTCAACTACATAGTGAGACCCTGTCTCAAAAAACAAAACAAAACAAAACAAAAAAGGGCTGTTACAACTATATTTTTTCTTTAGATTACTCATCAAATGCTATTTCTATTTCTAAATAATGGAAAAAATTTAGTATTTTCTGAAGAGTAGAGCCACATCATTAGTCCAGACAGTGGTAGCCCAAGGCCTCTCTTTTCTTCAGCTGTATTTGACAAACTGACCTCGGTGACCCTTCATATCTCCACTTCTAACTCTGTATATAACCTGCATTCTCTCCATAAAGCACCTGGGAATTTGTGGGCATCATAAAATGATCTAAGAATTAATGTTTGAATCCTTCAATGTTAAAAACCATAAAGGTAAGACAAACTACTGCTGCCTGCTTCACAAGCACAAGGTCCCGAATTCGATCCTCAGTACCACCTAAAAAAAAAAATCCATGTAGTTAAATTTGTACTAGCTATAGGTCTATTCCTCAACAGAATGACTGACAGCCCACTCCAGACAGGTAGTATTGTAACCCCAACATCAAAACAAAAATACAATAGTGCATGTGCTACTGTCTGGTCATAACAAGTGAGCCAAAAGCACATCACTTCAAATAAATGAAATACAGCCTACTGCATTAAAAATTCAGCTCTCTACAACTTTGAATGAGGCAAGATAACATAATAACTAAACCTGACAGTTTTTTAGACTTTTAATCATGATTATCCCAGTCATGTGAACTGGAAGAGGAAAGAGAAGAGGTAAGAAGGGAGTAATATTAAAACTCTGAGCTGAGCTGGGTGTGGTGGCACAGGCCTGTAACCCAGCAGTTGGGAGGCTGAGACAGGATGATCAGTGAGAGTCAGAGGCCAGCCTAGAGTATATAGCAAGACTCCACCTTAAAACAAAATTAAACTAAACAACCATGAGCTAAATCTGTGGCTAACTTGAGGGGAAAGAGAAGAAAACATTTAACTTTAGTAAGCAACGTAAGTTTACAGTCCCCTTGGAACAGTGGGCCATAACAATCCTAGGAGTAGCAGGCCGCAGCAATGACAGGTGTTAAGGATACTGGATGTGACGGCTACCAGTTATTGAATACATACCAGTTGCCAAGCACCGTGCTAGGTATACCCCACAGGTAACCATCAATCCTACGAGGTCACTTTGCCATTTAATAGATGAAGCAGCTCAGAGAAACACAGGAACATACTTAAGAAACAGAGTTATGGCAGGGCATGGTGGAGCACGCCTGTAATCCTAGCACTAGGGAGGCTGAGGCAGGAGGATCGCTGTGAGTTTGAGACCAGCCTGGGCTACGTAGTGAGTTCCAGGTTAGTCTCAACCACATAGTGAGACCCTGTCTCAAACCCCCCCACAAAAAAAAGAAAGTTATGAAAGCGACAGAGAGAGAATGCAATCTTGGGCCTGTATTACTCCAAAGTTCAAGCTCTTCGCACTGCATGGTGCTGCTTCAAAATAGGTCAGCCCTAAGGATTAGAAAAAAATATTAAAAATCAATCTCACCCACCTGTCTGATCCCTCTGGTACTCCACTGGCTCAAGCCGGGTGGAGGGGAACAGGGAAGAGACAAAAAACAGTGGACATCTGAGGAAAGAGTCGGTGGGAACCGGGCCAGGGCCAGAGTTACAATGAGGCCTCCTCCCTTCTTCTCTCTGCTAGGGCAGAAAGCAGCCACATCCATACACCAGGAAAATGAGTCAACCCCCAGCCTTCATTCCAAGGCCACAGACACATTTGGTTTATTTGAAAATGTAGTATTCTTGAGAAAATTTCTAACATGAAAACCTGACCAGAAACTAGTTGTAAACTACCTTTAGACAACCAGTGATCCACCATCATTGTTCCGAGTCACTGCTATTATTCAATTTTCAATTTTCCCCTCTACTTTTTTCCTGTAACTTGTACTTCCACCTGCCTTCCCACCATACCCGGTCCTCCCTCAAGCTCCAGGGTCTCATCACACCGGGATCCCTACTTTCCACCCCTTCCCCAGAAAGCCAGTCTCAGTATTTGATACTCAGCAACTCTCCAACTTCTCACCAAAATCCAGTCCCCACATCGAAAATCTTAACCTGCTTCACCCAGTCCCAGCTTCTGTCCCCCTCCTCCCACACCCCACACTCTTCCAATCCTTTTGTGCCCTTCTGAAATGTGGCTCTCAGTCGCCAGACCCAACCTCTTCTCCGCCTGCCTGCCCTTGCCGTCTCCACGCCGTTCCACCCCGCACCCCTGCTCTCCTGCACCATCCATTCTTCCCTTCTCCTCACCTCGGGGCTTTCCTCTCCGGGAACCCAATCCCTCCATCCCTTTCCTTGGTCCTCAACCTTCAAAAAACCCCTTCCTGCCTGCCTGTCTCCCAACTTCACAATCCACAGCTCCAACTTCTTTATTCCCTGCCCCCCAAACCCCACCCCTTCCCTATTCCTTTCCTCTGTGCACCCCTCAAACCCCATCCCCCTCCCCAGCACCATCCTGCGCCCTTCTTGTCCCCCCACCCGAGCTAACCTGCCCTCTCTCCTAGCCGGGCGGGGGTCCCCAATTCTCCCACGCTTCACAGCCCACCGGAGCACCCCGCCCCCACTCTTAACCCTC